TGGTGCTGAGCTGTGAGTATGCAATAGTGTCATATCTGGAAGCTGAGGCTAGGTAAATCCAGCCCAGAGAAACAGGGCACATGTCCTACCATGTGTGCTCTGTTCTGGATTATCTGCTCTGGGGAAAGGTTTAAATAAAAAGCTGTGCAACTTTGTGAAAAGATGATTTGGTGCTGACAGGAGTTTAACTCAAGGAAACCTGTGGCCTGTGCGTGTCAGGCTGCTGGTGGTCATCTCCTGTGATCCCAGTGCAAGGCTTATACCTCAGAAAGTATCAAATCTGTGCTTCAGAATAATTCCAGCTAAGTTGGACATGTTTCTGGCAAACACACAGTTTGTCCCCCCCTAAAATCATAGAATTATAGAATCAGTTGGGTTGGAAGAGACCTCAAAAATGATGGAGTCCAACCCTACTGTGGTTACTAGACCATGGCAGTAAGTGCTGAACAGTGAGTGTTTTAAGGAAGCTTTCAGTGGGTATGGTAGGGATATAGTATCCAGGCTAACATCTGATCCTGTAAATTGCTTTTCCTAGGTAATGTATACCCATTTTGGAAGTCTTTGACAATGAGAATCCAAATAATAGTTTGACATTGCAATAGAATAAGGGATAAATTGAGGATAAATATTTTGTTGCTTTGTTCATTTGAGATACTTGATTACTTCAGAGAATCCAGTTATTGGAAAATTGTGTGCTTTATTCACAAGCCTAAACGAAATAATTGGATTTCATGTGGCTGAATATTGACATATTGCTATAGTTTCTGACTTAACTGACAGTTTTTCTCCAGGCAAGTACAAGTCTATGAGAATTGCAGTGTGAAAGGAAGAATGAATTTGGAAGCATAAGTTGTTGTGATGTAACTTGAACAGAACTGCTTTGTTGGAAGGTTTGAGTACTGCAGTCCAGTTTGCCTTTCACTTTCAAAATACACCTTGTTATCATGAGGGAAAAAATACCTTTGGGTTGGAAAATGACATGGTGAAATAAGAACTTTATTACAAATCTCAACAAAGGAGTAATATTTAAGATAGATGCTGAACTGGTCCCTTCTTGGTGCTTTGGAGTGTTTAATCCTCCAGCCTTAACATTCTCAAAATAGTTAAAGCTAGTTATTTTTCTAGAGTCACAGAAAACATAGTCTAGGACTGTGAGCTGTCCTGTGGGGGGGGGCAAGGACAGCCACAGGACTCTGCTCCCTCACAGCTCTGTCTGTGAACACTTGCACAGGTTGGCACTACAGGCTCTTCTCTCTAGTTTGGTGGGTGTCCCATTTTTGAAACCTCTGCCAGGCTGAACCACTGTTCACTTTCCTCCTTTTCCTTACTTGTTCTGAGCTGGACAATGTAATGGAAAACTCAGGAGGAACTGTTCACTTTCCTCCTTTTCCTTACTCGTTCTGAGCTGCACAATGTAATGGAAAACTCAGGAGGGAGATGCAGAAAATAAGGACAGAAAATTGTGCAGATGATCCCTGGTATAAATGTAAAGAGATGAATTTATATGGTGTTAAAGATGACTAATTAATGATACAGCCTTGTTTGGCTCTTTATGATGCTTTTTATTTAAGTACTCAAATAAGATGGAAGAAAATGTTCAGGAACCATATGGTGGCAAAGGTTGAAGTGAATGGGCTCTGAATTAATATTTTCGTTATTAGGTACTGCTGTTCTGTATTTTTTATTTCATTTGATATCAGTTTTTAGCTTCCCACATGTAATTTCTCTATAGTGCTGTAGTTTTTGTTGTTGTTGGAAGACTTTAATTCTAATTCTCTGGTCCTAAGTGCTTTTCCTGGAGTTGTGGTGAAAAAGCTTTGGCTTAAATTTTGCCTCTTCTGTAAGATTTGTCCTGGATTGATTTTTTTAATCTGCTTGTGTTTTAGTCCCTTTTGATAGTCTCTTATTTGTTCATTTTGTTTAGATATTATTAGATCCAAAGTCTTGCCTGCACGACTGCGTTAATAAACAATACGTGGCTGTGCTGCCATTCTGTTGCCATGACTCTTGAATCTTTCAAAGTCTTCAACTTATTTTTACACTTTTTCCATAGATGAGAAGTTATTGTGCAGATGCTAAATGCTGAGAATTTTTTCCCTCTTAATCTTTTTTCTTCCATACTGGGAGGATGCATTCATGGGTTGTGAATGGAAGTGCCACTTGTGGGAACATTTTGTAAGTACGTGAAGCATCCCCAGCAGGTTCCTTTTCTCCTCTCTGCAGTGTGAGAGTGTATAATCTCTTTTCCACGGTGGGACAGGTTTTATTTCTCTTCAGCTCAATTGGATCTCTGCAGTTGAACATTTTAAGGCATGGGTCAGGCCTACACAAGGCATGACATGACAATAATTAGGCCTACTTTTACCATGGGCTTGAGTCATGCTCTTTGAATTACTGTGCATCATCTGCTTTAAGTTAACTGCAGACATGCCTGCTCTGAATTGCACCCTGTGACTGGCAGATCCAAGTCTCCTCATTCTGCCTGTATTGACACCAGTAGATGCAAAGCCTTCAGAGGAAACTGAGATGGACTGGGAAGAGATGTTTTTGGAATCTAGAAAAATGGGCTGCACTCAGTGAGAAGTTTCAAAAGCATCAGTCTGTTGATCTTTTGTCAGGTACCTAAGGTGTAGTGAGTGATCTTAAATGCTTGTGGGGGTAGGTTTTTTCCTTCCCTTTTGACACCCTTCATTTCTGAAATGTCAGCTTATGCACAGTGCTGAGAAGGAAAACTTAGTGAGTTCCAGTGCAAAAGCACACACTAAATCCTCCTGAACTTCTTCAGCACACAAATGACCTTTTCCAGATATTACCAGACACTATTTGTGGTGGAGTTTGGCATCGTGCAAAACTTGGTCCCACCCTGACATTTAATTAGGACACAAAGCATTTCAGAGGTGAAGCAATTATGTTCAGGACTAGAATTTTTTATGGACAACTTTTCATTGTTCCTTTCCTCTCTTGAGAGTAGAAACTGTACTGGCCAGATACAGGTTCAGTAAGTGTTTGGGTATAGTTCTTTTGAATTTGAACTTCTGGAGCTGGTTTTTAATAAATAGAAGTATTTTCCAGTTCCAAGGAGGATAACATGCTCCTGAGTTTGAGTTTTACCTAACATCCATTTTGAAAATGGAGCAGGAATTAGTATCTAAATCAAGGCAATTAGTATTCTTTTACAAAGATCATGTGTTTGGGTAGCTTGGCAGGAGTCATGAGGTGTGAATGTATACCCTCCTAAAGGTTAAGTCTTTGCTGCTTACGAAATCCCTTTGGCAACTGAACACTCATCGGATTCTTTGGTTGTTTCCTTCCTGAAATGGAACTGAATTACAGAGAAATCCATTACTCAGGGTTGAGACAACCCACTGAAGACCAAAACTGTGACTATTTAAGAATTTTGAAGGAGGACAGCGTTGACAGAGTTTCTGTGCTGAGCTGAGAGAAGATCCTGGAGCACTCCCCAAATAAGGCAGTGAGAATTCTTTCCAAGGGCTTCCTTGCTTGACATGGAGTCCCAAGTTACGTGTGATCTCTGGTCCTACAAGGTTTTGATGGATGTCTGTCCTGGCCTGAGGGGTATTTTTGTGAAGTTGGGAGCTAATCTGCCCATGGCATGTTCTTTCTGCCTGAAAGAAGAGTTAAGGAGAACAAAACATG